CACTATTGGGGTCTGTACTGAGGAAATGCCCAAACATGCAATTCCAAAAACTTAGCTTAGATTTTAAAAGAGTGAAGTGAATCCATTTCTCTAATTTGGGTGTGGAGGCCGCTTCCATTGAGATGCAATCAACTTTCTAACATAAAAGAAGAGCAGTCGCATTACCATGTTGCATGCACTATCTACAGGATAGTCAGACAAGACATCCAACTGGCATTATATATATATATTAGTTGTGAACAAAAAATCTGTGACAAAAAGGTGTAAGTTTTGGGCAACACCATGTCATGTGACTAAAATCCCCTATTTCTGTCTGACATTTAAGGCAAAGGTTTGTTGGTAATTTCCTTATCCTCCAAGTCTGACCAAGGTGTAATAGGTGTGATGCAGGTATCTGATCTGATATTTGGAAGACAAAGGGGGGACTCTGTCCTCCATGTCACTGGCACTGTTGGATTGCAGTTTCCATTATTTGGAAGAGTGACAGTTCTCACCAATCCTCATCATTGGTGGCAGTTGAAGTAGGAGAAGTAGGTGCAGGAGGGCAAGGTTTTCCTTTCTATTGTGCCCGACCCTTAAGCAAAGAACCCTTAAGGTGTCCATACACCTTACAATTTATCTGCAGATTTTCTGTGGTCAGATGGAAAAAGTGCAACAAATTGGCGCAGGTGGAGATTACTCTGGCCCAGGTGGAGATTACTCCATCCACACAGTTAAGTGTAGATTGAGGAATCTGTTGCACCTTTTCCATCTGACCACAGAAAATCTGCCGATAAATTGTAAGGTGTATGGCCAGCTTAAAGGTGCCCATACACTGCTCGATTCTCGTACGAGAATCGCGGGAAATCCCACGATCGTACGAGAATCGAACAGTGTGAACGAAGACGTGCAACCATTTCTACTGTACGGTTGCACGTCTTTTGTCTAAGGAGCATGCTAGAAAACCAGCCGAGAATCGGACGATTTTCGGCTGGTTAGAACGGTGCACAGGAGACAAATGCCGAACGGGCCAGTACACTGCCCGTTCAGCATTGCGGTCATCGGAAGCCCGCCCCTCAGGGGGGTGGGCTTGCGATGATCGAGAGTGCGATCTGCCTGTCCAAGATGGGCAGATTGTACGTTTTTTTAATCACTTTACAACCATCGCAAGACTAAGGTCTTGCGATGGCTGTACAGTGTATGGCCACCTTTAGTCGTAAGGCTCCTTTCACACAGGTAGTCCAATCAGTTCCGCCTGTCAGTTTTTCAGGTGGACCCGATTGGATGCCTAATGCTAGCCTATGGACAGCTGGGTCTAAATGAACAGGCTTCCGTTTACACCCGGTTACTCTCGACTCCGGCCAGGTCTGTGAAAACAAACAGAGCATTGCTCCATTTCAACGCACCTGATTGTGTCAGATTGGGGGTAATCTGATGTAAAGGGACACGTCCATTTACATCCGAATGCCCATAGACTGACATGGGGTCCACTCATTTCAGTCTTTTCCTCTATCGCTGGGTGGAGGTAAATACTGAACGGACACGGATGTCACAGCATCGATATCTGATCCATACTGCTCTCGATCAGTAGGGGATAACTGTACGGAACCCCTTCTGATGAGCCCGTGTGAAAGAGGCCTTAGAATTTGGTGTTGCTTCCAGGACCGTATTGGCATGCTTCTCTGCCATGAGGTTCGAGGGGCCCTCTGGGAACCACATTGAGCTGCACAGCAGATGAATATGGCAAGCTTGTCCGCCGGTGTTGTCAGCATGTTTTGGGCAATTTTGACCATATTGGGATCCACTTTGTATGTGTATATTTCCCGATTCAGAATAGGGAGTTATCACCTCAACATTTATGTAGGATTATGTGCAGGAGGTATTGCCACAAACTGAGCTCACTAGGGATGCTTTATCACAAATCAAGCACAGTCCCCCATTTCCACAGCTTTAGAAATGAACTTTCATTGCAGGTGAGAATCCTGGGATATAAACTATAGATTATAGATAAAGGTGGAAACACTAACCTATAAGCATCAATAAGTCAAAAAGCATATGCGCTGGTCATAAAAAGTATCCATCATCATCAGAACTAAAACATATCAACTGGGTTCCTTTTATAAAACCAAACAAACACAACAATGACCAAGGTTGAGGAACACCAACCCTCAAAAAGCACAACCCAAGTATGTTGATCTAGAATAACAGAAAATGTTGGTAAAGCAGCTTCCAGTTGGTAAACAATTCCTTCTTAACAACAGAACATGGCATAATACTATATTGAACTGTATGTAAAACAACCAATATGAACAAAACAGTTTAACATGAACATTTTGGGAAATATTAACAAAGTAAAATAATAAACACAATTTGCTATGGCTATGTAACGAGGAACTGAAATAGGATAAAGATTCTATTAAAAACTGAACACCAAGCCAGTGTATGAAAAAAAAGGCTCAGGCTGCAATATTTACCTTCAATCCATAGCTGCCCCTTACAGCACATTGTTTAAATCATCTTCATTTAAACCAGAAGACTAAGAACATAGTTCGAGACGAGTGCAGGGCATGGTGAACCTGCCCCCTTAGAAGGCATTGTTATAGCTCCCTGCAGTTACTGTGCAACAGGGATGTCCCATTAGCACTTCTTTCTTTATATCTGCAGAGGGCTGCCCACCGCTGAATGAACACTGAAGAAGAAAAGGACCCGCAAAGCCCAGTGACTATCCAGAAGACATCAGAAAAAGGTAAATTTAAAGAAAAAAATTGCATAACATCCTGCTGGGAGGACCTTTGAGGTGTGGGGGGATCTCTAGATGGCTTTAAGGGCTCCATTAGTCACACTTCTAAATACAATGTACTGGAATCTTGGCAGTCTGGAGAAACCAGAAACTATTTATAGAACCCTGTTTGTGTTGACACAGATTGAGTGCAACGTCTGTTCTCATGTAAACTTGTGACTCTTAGGTGCTATAGCCAACTGTGAGTCACAAGACCCGCTTCCACTCTGCAATAGCCCAGTACATTTCCTTTTTCCTTCCTTTGAAAATATCTATGATGGTAGAGCTTATATGAGATTTTAGTCATTGGGTTTACATTAAAGTGGACCTTCACTCAAAATCGACATTTTGCACCAATCTAATCCCCTCTCCCATTTAAAATTGCCAATTTTTTTTTTTTCCCCTTTTTTGTTTTTTTTATTTTGCCCCTGCCTTTATTTTTGCCTAGGTCACATGTCCCAGGATGCATTACTTTCCCCATTCACAGAATGGGGGAAGTAAACAGAGGAGGTGCCAGATCTTGCACATGCGCAGATATCTGGCGCCATGTCTGTTTACATATTGTTCTATGAATGGAGGAAAGTATTTCCGACTAGGCATTATTATCCTCTATTCATCCTCTATTAATAGAACAAACAGACATGGCACCAGATTGCTGCCTGTAAATGCTCGAGATCTGGCACCACATCACTGGGGGGCTGGCTGAAAGATCCAGGAAGAGACGACTGGCTTCTTGTGATGTCAAAAAGGAAGATGGTGGCATGGAACAGGACCTGGAGTAGGAGAGCAACGCCAGAGAAGAGGACACCGCTGAATCAGCCGGAATGTATATTAATCAAGCATAGCAAATACCAACAGTAGGTGGGGAAAAAGACTGAAATTTGCACTGGGGGGGGGGGGTAAAGTTCTACTTTAAGGGAACTTATGGAGGCTGTATAAAGGCATATTTGAATATTTTTTGTAAATGCATGCTTCTTTTGGCGTTATGGCTAGGGTTTCCACCTGTCCGGGATTCACCCGGACAGTCCGGGTTTTGAATACTGTGTCTAGGTTTCATGGCCACTCAAACCCAGACACAAGATGTCACGCAGACAGGCAGGGGTGTATCTGCTGCAAGGCAAACTAGGCATTTGCCTAGGGCGGCACTTTCAATGGGGGCGGCAAAAAATGCCAGTTACCAGTTAGGTAAGAGAAAATAAATACATTATTTATAAATTATTCAGTACTACTGGACCTGGTGCTTCTGTGACTGGAGGACCAATGTGTCCACCGTTGCTGCCCACCCCTACATATATGCCGGCTGTAGCTCCTTCCTGGTCAACATGCTGTGCAATTTATTAGAGATGGGGGGGTGCTCGGGTTTAGTATTGCCTTGGGCAGCACAAAACCAAAATACACCACTGCAGACAGGGGCAACCAAAATTAAGATAGGGGCTACTGGCACCCCACTGAAAATAGTCCTGACTGTGATATTTACATATTAATGGGTGACGCTATTTACATATGAACAAGGCTCAATTTCCCCCCCAAAAAACTCACTGCATCGCTAGAGTGTTCGGGTTTCACTGGAAGAAAAGGTGGCATCCCTAGTTATGGCTGTGGCCCTTTAAGGGGTCAATGCTCTGTGTTGGATGTTTTATGTAATGTTATGAAGAATGTGACATAAGGAGTGGTAACACTATTCTAAAGAAAGACTGTTAGTGATGGGATGCATGGCCTCTGAACACAATGCACTGTACTCACAACATGCAGAGAGTGGCGCTGATGTCAACACGTCAGCACCGCTGTTTGCATCATCTGAGATCGCCCACCACTGGGAGAAGACAGAGAGGAACGCATCATGTGACAGACCAGAAGACATCAGAAAAAGGTAAGTAAAAAATAAAAATCAAATAATACAGGTGGAGGCCTCAAAAACAGAGGGGGTCCAAGAGGGAAGGGGGAGCAAGGAATGTGGAGTTGGGCTTAATAGCACGCCCAAAGACAAGTAAAAAAAAAAAAAAACAACAATCTGTCAATGATAAAAGTGTTTCCAACTTGCTGAAATTTCAGGTGTGAGTGACACCTTCAGTGCTCAACATCAGCAGGAAAAGATGCCGCATAATTTTACATACTGTATATGTTTATAAGTAGCCACTGAACAGTAAATGACTTCACACCCACTGGACCTTAATGCCAACTTGCATGCAAACAAAAAAATCTTTGAAGAAATATTGATAACTTTTCATCTGAAAGTTCTTACCTGGAAGCATCAAAGCTGTCGTAAGATCCAACAGTATAGTGCCGAAATAATTTTTTCGTTCTGTCTGAGCGTGTTTCTAGAAAAGGAAAAACAAGCAAACATAGATTAGATAGTAAAAGATAGAACAATCACAGAACATTAAAGCGTTGGACCTGTCTGCATCTCTACTGTTGATCATACTGCCTGTGTTGGCCGCATGAAACGTTTCTTAGCACCAATTATTTCTCTTTATGAAGGTTGAACTCCAGGTAAACTGCTAAATACACAGATTAAATACATCTATGGGCTATCCAGTTCTGAAGTTTACACAGCTCTTCCACTCAGTACAATCCTGCCTGGTAGGGAAGGAAACCGGCTCCTTCTCTGATGCAGTTTTATTTCCACTTACAGGTCTCTTCCCCACCCCTATCCTGGGACTGGGCACTAAAGAGGGGAGCAGTAGACTTGTCCACTTAGCGCTCTGTCACGTCTGACTTGCTCCTCGTGCTGCTTCTCCCTCCCCCTATGAGCTCTGCTGTCGCACAGACAGCAAGAGGCTGATACCAGATCTAACTCAGGTACTTACACGGCTTGCATTTAAAAAAATACATTTAATGATGTGTTAACTATTACAGGGCTGCAATTTGAGCCTTTTATATCTGCCTGGAGTTCAGCTCTAAGCACTCAGACCTCTTAATGAGGAACTTTACCCATGCCTTTCAAATGACAACAAACACACCTTTAGAAATGTTTAGTAATGACAATCTACAAATACATACTTGTAGATAATTGCAGGCTTTTTATTCTTTGCATACCTTATTTTTTTTTTCCTCCCCATTCTCAAGGTAGCCATTTTTACTAAGGGCAGATGAATCCATCTCCCTTTACTTCCTGCAACTTTGGCACATGTGACTAGGGCATGTGACCACACACATCATCTCAGGGGCGGAAAATGCCTTTCCTTGAGATCTCATGAGATCACAGATGAGATTTCCCAGCAATTCTCTGCAGAGGTAACCTTCCCAGGATGCAAAACTTGGACACATTACATCACTAATGCCCAAGAGGACCAGGAAGTGGAAAAACAATAATTGTTTAATTAGCGAATGTAAGATGATTTCATATCAGCATGCAGAGCTGTATACCAAGGTGATTTTTAGTAAAATGGGGTAAAGTTCTGCTTTAATGAATTCTAGAGCGACTAAATCCCTCCACAAGTGGCATGTTCATGCACTAAAGGAGAAGTGGCCACACTTTCAAGTACACTTGTAGTGTACAGTAGTAGGCATTTGATGAGAAACTGCATGAAAACAATCAGAAACTCCAGAGATATTTTACAACCAGCAGCTGAAGTAACATTCAAATCTTGACTTTTTTGTGAACTCTGCACTTTACACTATGCCCCTGCTATCTCTCACATTTGGGTCCAATAATAAGAAAGTATCACACTCAAGAACCAACAGGGAGTCTCAGGAGTGGAAAAGATGCATCTCAAAATGATCAACAGATATAAAGGAAAAATCTTGACTTTTCCTGCACAAGCTGAGATTGGCCCTGCCTTTCCCCACCTACCTATTGGTCAGTGAGGCTATCGACCATGTAACTGACCATGTGACGCCGCAGCTGAAACGGATCCCGACAATTATGTCTGTACCCGCCCCCTCCCGTTCCGCCAGTCAGCGCTGGAGGATCGGAGCGAGGAGGGGGGAATCCAGTCTCTCCCCTGTCACGGCAGAGAGCCGTGACGCCGGTATGTGTTCGCTTACCTCCCGATCTACTGAGCCGACCTGTGACAGTCTCATTGCCACAGGTCAGCTAGAACTATGAGGATGAGTGAAAAGCACTCACCTCATACTTCTCCTTTAAAGTTTTTTAATAAAAGAAGTTTTAAAGAGCTGCACAATGGAGAATGTGTATGTGTTTTTTGAGTGTCGATGAGAGAGTCAGGGACTTAGGAAGGGTGCCGCTTATTGGCTGTTTCGCAGGTGCGGGGGGAGTTGAGAGCGGCTGCAGTGCTGATTGCCTTAGTTTACCATAGCGGACACACACATGCAGCGCCGCTGCATATTGGCTGGTTTCTAAAAGGGGAGGAGTTGAGGGCGGCTGCAATGCTGATTGCCTAACATATTGCCGGATGTACGGAGTTCCCAAACGGCAATTGGCAGCCAATGCTGTTTAAAGCTAGCTGAAAACTCCATGCACCAGGCAATTCAGTATCACACCTTTGACCCTCACATGACCGCTCCCTCTGTACCCCTCTATACCCCGCATGTGGAGCTAAAAAGTGGAAGACTTGGGGATGAAGGAGATCTAAATACTGTATGTAATTAGGAGAATTTTCTGCCATAACCTGCTCTATCCCCTCATGAAGTAAGCAATTGGTATCCTGTACGTGTAGTTAGCATTTAAATTCAGGGAATTTTATGATGTTTGGCAAATATATACAAGTACAAATGCACTGATCTGGTTCACAAGAGGAACATCAATGCTAAAGCATTGGGAGTATTTTCTGCCATAACCTGTTCTATCCCCATCACTCCTTAAAAAATCCCTTTTACTTCTCTTTGCTCTGTCCCCATCTTCAAATGATCACTGTCCCTGCAACCTCATGTCCCCATCACCCCTTGAAAATCAGTTTTATTCCCCTGCTCTGCTTTATTGCCCTATGTCCCCATGCTCTGTTCCCATCACCTCTTTAAAATCCATTTTACTCCCCTGCGCCGTCCTGAACACTCCATGTCCCCATGCTCTGTCTCCATCAATCCCTTAAAATCCCTTTTACTCCCCTGCTCTGTCGCCATCACCCCATAAACAGTTCTAATATCATTAATTTCCTTGGTATTTGTTTACTTTCCTCAAAATAACCTGGGGGTGGGGACAACACAATTTTCTGTTCTTGCCTCGGCGCAGAAGGAGCTGGCTATGGTTCTGGAGAGAGTATATGGTATGAAGAGAAGGGAAATTCAGTGAAACCATAAGACAGAGGTGCGGATCTCTCTGCATGTGGCTGGATGGAAACAGCGGAGACCATCTGAATCAGACTCCCCGATAAAAGCGTAAATGACCTATCTATAATAAGGTGGCCATAGATATCCGGTGAGTGCGGATGTTTGATTAAAGCACAGAGGTGGTGTGAATGCATATTACATTTGTTTCCTTAAATTTTGACTCACTAGAGCTGTTAGAATTTATTAATGTCACAGAAGGTCACAGTTGTTTGGGTTTCTTTTATGTAATCAGTACAACATGGTATATATTTGTCTTGAATGGTTATAAGAGTCACTTCAGCAAAAATTATTTATTCAAGGCGTAAGAATATGAACATATGTAGGGGATATATTGTCTTGTACTGTGTTTTACGGTGTAAGGAACAACTAGTATTTGATGTTTATTTGGTCACATCTTGCTGCCGGCCGGCGGTTAGATTCCGCGGTTGGCAGGAAAATGTAAACAACGGGGAGCAAAAGTCAGCCTGCTATTGGCTAGTTCAAATTGCAATAGCAGGCAAACTATTGCACCTGCCCACTGAGCAGAGGAGTGGACCTGAGGGGCTGAGCAGTTCCAGGAAACACATTTTGTGCTGGGAAAGAACTGGCTTTGCAGTTCTCTCCAGGTTTTCTGGATTTGGCATGGGATCCTGGGAGATTTCGAAGACAATTGGGAGGGATGAAATCTCCATTCCTGGGTCCGTGGTTTAGTAGGGGCCAGCACCTGGTGGAAAGGGTGCTGGCTAATGATCTTGGCTCCAGCTGGGAAGAGGAACAGAGGTGTTCAGGAGTCAGGAGGACTCCTCCCAGAAGTCAGAGGGGAGCCAGGTGGCTGTGTGTGCTGGAGGCACCTGGGAGACAGCCGAGGAGACGTAGAGAGCCAGTGACACATGAGGGATGTGTGTAAGAGTCACACAAAAGGTAGACTGTGGCTCCGTTAAGGAAAACCCTAATGTCCAGGGACTGGGAAGCATGGAGTATGCGTGACAACCTGGAGTCGGTGAGACTCTGTGATCTGTCTGTTTGCTGGAATGCAAGCGGACCTTGTGTTATTGAAGAGAGCCATGTTTCTGTTCTGGAAGCAGTAAAAGACTGTTTTGCTTTATGCTAAGGTGGCTTCGAGACTGGTCTTTGAGCGCTCACCATTTGTGCTAAATTCCCCAAATATCACAATATATATTTTATTTGCTTTTTTCAGTACAGCCACATACGCTACAACTTCATTAAAAAAATGTTCCGATTTCTCACACTGTTTTTTTTTTTTACCTTAAGAGAATTAGAAGAAAGTGAATAAATCCCCTATGTGGGTTTCTGGGAAATGAGATCTAAATAATAAAAAGCCATCAGATTATCAATTGAATTGAAACGTGTGTGGTGTGCTTCTTTTACGGGAACAGTGGCGTAACAACCGGGGGGCCGTTCGTATATGGGGGGGGGGGCGGAAAAAAAATGTCTGCCCTGGGCGCCCATAACTCTGGTTACGCCACTGTACGGGAACAACTGTGGAGGAAAGAAGTACAACTGTTGAGGGAAAAGATAAAGACTGCCTCAGGACCCCCCACCCAAAAAAAATCATGGCATCCTTCAAATGAATGGCAGCTAAAAGTGATGCCATGCATTGTAAACTTCAGGTCAGGAAATCTACATTGAAACGTGTTTATTCATTTAAAGTGGCAGTAATTAACATTTAGTACCTACTTTGCCCTATCACATTAATGGGTAATCGATGTAAAGAATTAAATACTGTATATATTCTAAAAGGGTTCATCTAATCCCACACCCAGGACATAACTGACATATTGATTTCCTTTAGTGCCTCACTCCGCCAAACTGGAAGCAATATACTGGAAACCTTTGAGCTAACAGGCAAAAAAATAATTACCAATCCCAGTCTTCCCGAGTTTGCATGTTAAATGTCTGCGTTCAGTTCAGTGCCAGATAAAATTAAAATCTGTCACAGTCCGGTCTTCTGTCACACAACAGATCTGTGGCCGTTAATGCCGAAAAAGGTTTCTAGTGGTGTCCAAATTAATAGCTTTCTTAAAAATGGGGGTTTTATTGGATTCATATAACATTTTTAATTATTTTCTTTAACTTTTGCAAGAAAACT